CCGCCCATCATTCTTTTAGGGTTTGTCAGCTTTAATGCCTCGTAAAGTGTCCAGGAATAATTTTTTTATTTTTTTTTAAATAGCTTATCCATCACATGTTTTCAGGAATGTAGTGTTAAACATGGGTTTTGATTGGAAAGAGAAATCCTAAAAGCCCCCAAGCATAAATGAAATTGAATAAGAAACAGACAGACTTTTTTTTTCTTGTTTATATGTTTGGAGTCTTGTGAGCCTCCTGAATAAATGAAAACAGAGAGATAATAATGAGCATCTGTGCTGACCCAGTCAAGTCTTGTAAGATGCTTCTGTGAGAGAGCCTTTGGGGTTCCACTTTGTAGTCAGAGGCTGTGTGTATATTTAAAAGCAATATATATTTAATTTTATCCTTCTCTGCCCTCAACAAATAGCAAGATAATGACTGAGTTTGTAAATTTTTTAAAGTAAGGCCTACATTATAAGAGAGTCCAGAGAAGAGCCACACACATGATCAGAGGTCAGGAAAATAGACCTTACGATGACAGGGTGAGAGCTATGGGGTCTTTAGCCTGGAAAAGCGCAGGCTCAGGGGTTATCTGATGGCCACGTATAAGTTTATCAGGGGTGACCAGCAGTATCTGGGGGAACATTTGTTTACCAGAGTGCCCCAAGGGATGACAAGTGTTACCAAATTTGCCCATTACTTTGGGGTGTGCTCATTTATTAGGGATAGTTTCTAGGGTCTTGGTGATTCTGTCAATGTGCTGCTTCTGTTACTATACGGAGCTGTATCTCTCCCTTCTGCAAGCCCTCACCCCCAGTTGAGCTATCTTGCAGGACTCAATCTCAATGGGACTGGGTTCCTCCAGTCACCAAATCAGTCATACACACAAACACACACAAATTAACGTGACACGCCTGACCTGGCCAGGCTGATCAGCATGGACAGGCTGACACCCTCATATGCCAAGAATCAGTTCATAAGAGCAACAATAAAATGCAGTCAGACACAAGCACACAGGTAAACAGAATCGCTCTGAATCTGGCTGGGTGTCCAGCTGACACCCTCATGGGCCAGCATTCAGTTCATAAGGGCACGTCTGAGCCAAAATGGGTCAATCAGCCTGTACAAGCTGATCCCCTTATGTGTTTCAAACTCGGCACGTCCTAATCTTTGGCCTCTTGATGAGCAGACCCCACAATATTTTTTGGGCTTCACAGGGATCTTTAGCTTAGGTAAAAGAAGCGTTGCTGCAGAGCACGGGAGAGAAGGAAAAATATACCCAGTTACTACCAGTTTGACTATAAAGGTTATTTACTGCTAAACATATGAAATATATAATGGTACTAATAGTAATAGACATGCAAAAGAAAAACAAACACAAACAATGACAATACCACCCTGGTTTCACTAAGTATTTGGGGAAACTTAGCTCAAGCTTAACTAATACAGTTCAGGTTCAGAAGTTCATGCCTAGAGAGGAGAGAGAAATCGCTGGGATCTCACCTAGTCCACGGTACTCAGGCTGCAAAGCTGACAGGCACAGTCTGTAGCACAATCCTTGAAGAGAGAGATGATCTGTTCTTCCAGCGTCCCAAGAACGACAGGGGATGGTGTCAGCACAGGGGTTTTCTTCTTCTCCTTCTTTCCTCCTGCTTATACTTCTTTTCCTTCCTTTTCCTCTTCCTCTTCTCCCTCTAGCAGCACACACACTTACAGATTTTTATACCCTCAGTTTAGCTGCTTCGAAGCACCCTCAGTAGTGTAAATCATTGTCTTTTCTATTGACAAGGGGTTATCTGGTTTGGACCATCTCAGGAAACTGATTGATAATCAGGAAACACTTAAGATTAGGGAGTAACCCAAATACTTGGGAGCCAGCTTGAGATTCCTATGGGTGGCAGATATACTGATGGGATATCTCATGGTTTCTTCAGGAACAATAGATAGCTTGCAGCATCAGGATTTTGGATTTTTACTTGTTGTGCACAAGCCTCAGCTTAGCATGACTTTTCCAGATCTTACTATAGTCTTTTAACAGACTTAAAACAATTATTGGGGTGCTCATAACCTTTTGTGGAGAGGACTCCCACCAGTCGTCTCGGGAAAGATATGACAACACCTGGGATTAGGGCTCCAGCAGGCTGGATGCTGTGATGAACCCTTAACCATTGTTCAAATGTTGCCCATACCCCCTCTGACTCGGTCTCTTGCCTCAGCATTCCCTAACCCGGCAACCGAGTTTTAGTCAATCAAGTTTAAATAGGCCTCCCATAGTGGGACCGGGGAATGTACGGCCCGAGATGCCTATTAAACTTAGAGCTGTGTGTGTGTGTCTGTGCAGTGCTCCCCTGCTTCTCTGGTCCCAGAATTCACTGCAGTTTCTGCTTCAGGCTTTCTGTTCTCCATCTCTCATGTAAATGAATGGTCATCTGGTTCCATCTCGGATGCAAATGAGACCTAGGGCAGTTGGTTTACTCTTGTCACCCTTATCTTGAGGGTCTTAGGTGCGTCTCTCACTGCATCTTAATCAGTTTTGTTTAGGTAGAGGAGGGGAGGGAGGGGGGTGAGTCCTTTGTGAGTCAGACAGACTGCATCCTGTGCCAGGATTGCCCAAGAACACACAGATGAGACGTAACACAAGGTCGAACGGTTACAAACTACTGCAAGACCGTTTCAGGCCGGACATAAGGAAGAATTTCTTTACTGTCCGAGCCCACAAGGTCTGGAACGGCCTGCCATCGGAGGTGGTTCAAACACTTACATTGAACACCTTCAAGAGTAAATTGGATGCTTATCTTGCTGGGATCCTATGACCCCTGCTGACTTCCTGCCCTTCAGGCTGGGGGCTGGACTCGATCTTCTGAGGTCCCTTCCAGCCCTAATGTCTATGAAATAAAATACGTGATTGTACAGGAACTAGCCTAATGGGCACCAGTCCTGGTGAGGTCTCTAGGCATTACTGCAATATTATAATTTAAATGATATGTAAAGAATAGAAGATTCTTTTACATTATGGAAAATGTTAAGGACATTTTTTAGAGAATAAACAGATTGTATTTAGCTCCTCCGGCTGAAGGAAAGTTGTGTCCCCCTGAAGGGCTGGCAAGAAGAAATGCAATGTAGTATTTTCCCTTCTTTCCACTCTGTTTTTTTTTTAATAATATATAAATTCCTGGAAATTTTAGGATGTCTGGTTCTTTTGTGAACCCCACTCAGTGATTCCAAGAGACATGCACAGTGCATTTTCTGTCACATTGTATTCCTTTTAGTTTTATGTGGAAAAAAGAAATTGGCAGTATATCTTAAGATAATAAAAGTCAAGCATCAGATCAGGTCTGATGTGGGTGATATACAAGGCAATTTGAAAGCAAAGAAGTTTGAAGCAATAAAAAGTAGAGTAACGTGTTACATCCTACTCCCTTCCATTGATACCTGGAATGAAGCTTTACATTAACTTGGAATGAATTGGCTGTTTAGTAAGAGGCATTGGCAATCTGCAATTGACTAGTTTAAATGTCGGTGAGCCTAAACTTTTGTTTATCTTTAAAAAAACTATATTGTTTACATTTGTCGTCTTGTTGTTTGGAAATATAGTCAGTCTCTCCTAAACCAAGGCGTAAAAATTCAACAATTTTTCCAGGCAGCCTAAATATAAATTTTAAAGTGAAAGGTCTTTCTAAGGTTTTAGAGGCATATTTCTGAATGGAGAGCCTGATTGCTATATGCTGACAAAAGCTGAGCAGACAGGCAGAACTGAAGGACAATATAACACGTAAATATATTCCTACAAGTTAAAACACAGCTGGTAAAATAAGCTTAATTTTATGCCTGGAAGTGCCAGTAGTATCCCATTAGAAAAGATTCTAAATTATGTTACTATCTTTTTAACATTATTTAATAGCTTTTTAGAGAATGGTCCCCTATTCACCATGATTACCAACCAAGACAAGTCTGTGTTTCTGTGCAGGTGGAAAGGAAATAGTTCTTGAAAGGCATTTATTTAAACCACTTCCAAAGCCTTTGAACAGTTCCTTTCCTTTGTCTTGGTTGATAATAATGCAGAAAGTACAAACACATGCAGAAAATTTATTCTTTTTAGTGATTTTTACATCTATCCAAAGGACTTTTTTTATTTATTTATTTTTTTGAAACATGAGATTAAATTTCCGTAGCATAAAAAGGCAAAGCTTACAAACAGAGATGCTCTACTGTGCAGTAAACAACTAAAACAATCCTCCATCATTCTTCCCTTTGTTTCTGTATTGTCAGACTTAAAGAGATTATGCTGTTGTGATGAATCGGTGTTTAGAAGCATCAGGATCTGGTTGTGGAGGAATTCTGCCCGCCC